CGCGCCACGACGGCGTGCAATTTTTTATCTCTCATCTGGCCAGCTGGCTCCGCACCCGCCGCTTTAGCGAGCCTACTTTTCGACCCTCCGGAGCCCCAAATCATTGGAAAAACACAGTGTTTCGCGACTTTCCTACCTTTTCGCGCATCTCCATCTTCTTTCTTCTTACTCTTTCTCTTCTACTCTTCTTTCTTCTAATCTTTCTCTTCTCTCTGCCTCTTCCCTGCTCTGCTTTTCATCTGTCCATATTGTCGGAAGTTTAACTTCTAAACTTCCTTCGATCAGATTTGTTCTGACCGAAATTACGTTATCAAGATTGTGCGCCTTATTTGGTGTTGTTTTGGTGCTACTGTGGATTTGGTTGTTGTATCTATTCAATGATGGTTTTAGCACTTCCACCCATGTTTTGGTTTTGTAATGCCTCAATCTGTCCCCAATCATTTTTTTGACCGTGCGTATCATCCTTTCTGCCTGATTTGCGTGTGTCTTTGTGATTACGTGTGTTATACCTTCCTCCTTAAAAAATGTTTGCAGCTTCTTGCTGTTCAACGCTCCTTCGTCGTCACTGTAAATCGACAAGGGCTGACCTAGTACCTTGAAACACTCCATGACTGCTTTATAAACGTCATCACCATCTTTATTCTGGATAGGGACTATGTGACATTTTTTACTGAATATATCTATGCAAACTAAACCATATCTTAGTTGACTTTTGATTTCAGAACCTACGTCTCGCAACAAACTGGTAACATCCATCAAGTCAATTTGGTATTCATACTTCGGGAACGGTGCAGTGTAGGAATTGTAGTTCTTGTAGTTTCTTGTTTGCTTGTTCGGTTGCGCCCTCATCCATGTAGATACCATATCCAAAGTTATGCCCACATCGACTTTCCTAGCCTTTTCGTATAAGTCCCTCACCGAACCGAAGCCGTCCTCCACGTCGTAATATATTCTTTCCAATACCTTTTCTTTTTCCAATCTTGTCATTAAAAATACTTAGATTATAGTTTTATGATATTTTTTTGTATCATAAAATCATAGTGAACTCAAACCAAGAACCCCTGGCACTTCTTTGTTTTCTTGTGCTTTGCCAAGTTTGATTTACAGCTCATGGCAGAGCCGCATATATCGCATACACAAGGTTGTTTTGTTTTCTCGTGGTAATATTTTTGGAAATACGTTTCGTCGTTCGGTTTTCTGTTGTAGTATCCGTCATCTTGTTTTCTCCATTCAGCATTGGCGTTCTTGTTAACGGATGAGTTTGCTGTGTAGCTTTCTTCAGATGAAGATGTTTCGCTATCAATGGGTTCTTTGTTGCCAAAACCGTTCCAAATAAAGTCAAAGGTTTGATTTGTCATCGGGATTTCAACTCCACTACTTACAAAGTAACAAGGCATATTGTATATATAATTGCCTATATATCTTAATAATTCTTAATATTTGTTTAAATATTTTTTCCTCAGCAGGAACTATGTATATCAGCTTGTGCTTGTGGCATCTCATACAAGTCCCTAACACAAACCCCAAAACAATTTCGACATCAAAGTTTATAGGTTTGAACCGTTTACCCTTCTACCGGTTGACTTATTTTTAGAGACACCCAGTTTTAAAAGAATCCTAAATCCAAACCCAAACATGCTTAGCGTTCAAAACAGTGAAACTTGAGCTTTGTCCCAAGCCGACCCAAAAACCAAGCCAATTTTCCACCAAACCAAACCAGTTTGTCCCAAAAAACGGAGCTTGTTTTTCCCAAAAACGGAGCCTGTTCTCTCCAAAAACGGAGCATGTGTTTCCCAACATGGAGCATGTTTTTCCCAAAAACGGAGCATGTTTTTCCCAAAAACGGAGCATGTTTTTCCCAAAAACGGAACCTGTTTTTCCCAAAAACGGAGCTTCACAAAACCGGTGGCAGATTTTCCCAAAGTCGGTGGCTGATTTTCCCAAAGTCTGTGGCAGGTTTTCCTAAAGTCCGTGGCAGATTTTCCCAAAGTCGGTGACGGATTTCCCCAAAATCGGTGGCTGATTTTCCCAAAATCGGTGGCGGATTTCCCCAAAGTCGGAGGATTCGGAGGGCGGATTTTCCAAAGTCGGTGGCAGATTTCCCCAAAATCGGTGACTGATTTTCCCAAAGTCAGAGGGCGGATTTTCCAAAGTCGGTGGCAGATTTCCCCAAAATTCGGTGACTGATTTTCCCAAAGTCGGTGGCTGATTTTGCCAAAGTCGGAGGGCGGATTTTCCAAAGTCGGTGGCAGATTTCCCCAAGTTGGTGGCTGTTTTCCCAAAATTGGTGGCAGATTTTCCAAAAGTCGGTGGCTGATTTGCCCAGAGTCAGTGGTTGATTTCCTCAAAGTCGGTGACAGATTTCGACAAAATCGGTGGCAGAATTTCCCCAATTGCTTGCAGGTCTCTATGAAACTCGGATGTGTAGATTGATTTGTTCCATGCTCGTGGCTTTTCTTCTTAGAGCAGGGTTTTGAACCCCCTTTTGATCTGCAATGGAACAACACAAACATCCTTTGGTTGTATACATGTGTGTATATATATATATATATATTGTGAGTGGTGTCACAAAGGTAGTCAGAAGCTGAACCCTTCAATGTGAAATCTGACAGCGGCCGCGCTGCACAGTCAATTGTTTTTCAGGCAAGACCTGTAGATCTCTGCTCCAAGTTTCTTCCAGAAAGTGCTGGCCACAGCAATGGGTAGAAAAATGGCTCTGACACTGCCCGCCCTCCTCCCAAGGCTAGCCTCAGCCTAAAGTGTCTGGCGGGTGATCTGCCATTTAGTTTGAAAAGTATAGAAGATATAATAACAGAAGAACAAGAAGAATTATTATCTTTAATTTATGAAGAAGTAGAAGATGATTTAAATTATAGAGTTAAACTTGATATTGAAGTTCAATTAGTGGCAAAACTCCCAGAAAAGGAATATGGAGAAAATGAATTTAGTTATAGAGAGATTTATTTTATGAATGACTTTTGATGAATATTTAGATGAAGATAATATAGATACAATATTAGAGAAAGCAGTTGAAGAAATACAGGAAGATATAGATGAAGACCGAGATAAAGATAGTATCATAGGAATACAAGCATTTCATTTTAAATTAACAATTATTGAAGACATTTACTTTAACATAATTCTAATAATACTATTTATTAGATTTATGGATTATTAAGATAGGATTTTTAAAGGTGAGGAAATTGTCTTTATTATGGTTTGTTGTTTTGTTTTTTTTTTTATGTTGATGTTTTTTTTGTTTTTGTTTTGGGTATGGAATGGATGAGGTCATGATGTGATTTTCTATGCACGAAAAATATTAAAAAATCTGAAAACAGATTTAAGAAAATGACTGTTTTAAGATATATGGATGATAAAACCTGTAAAACTTGTGAAAGAACTATGGACATTGATAATTTTGATGAAGGGTTAAACACTTGCAAAATGTGCTTGTCAGATAAAAGAACCAGTTATCACAAACATAAACATAAACGAAATGAGGTTCAAAGAAAAAGATATGAAGAAGATGAGGAATATAGAAAAATGAAGCAGGACTATAATAACACATTTCAATCTAAAATTGTTAGTTGTTCTGTTTGTAATTGCTCAATGACCCAAGCAAATTACTATAAGCATAAGAAAACAGAGAAGCATCAAAGAAACTTAAATAATAGTCAGTAGTTAGGTTTTAATAAAATGAATGAGGTAACTAGGTATTGACTTTTATGATTTATAGAAATGAAAGAGGTAATATATGGTTAGTAGTGATGATTTTGAAAAAATGAATGAGGCAATTATGCCTTGGCTTTTTCATTATAGTTTTTTAATATTGTTGAAAAAATGAAGTAATCATCAATATTAAAAATCTGTGTTTAGACTGTTTTAATTGAAATTAAAAAACTTCTATGAACTGTGTTTTTTTACATTTTTTGGGTGCTGCCCACGGTGCTGCTGTTAGAGTGGCGTGTGCGCTTTGAAGTTGTTCTGCTGCTGCAGTCAGGTGGTGTGTGCGCTTTGGAGCTGGCTTCTGGTGCCGCTCCAGGGTGCTGCTGTTAGAGTGGTGTGTGCGCTTTGGAGCAGGCATGGTGGTGCCATGCAGGATGCCGTTGTCGGGTGCTGCTTCTAGTTCTGCTGTTAAAGTGGGCGTGTTGGTCTCGCTGCAGCATGCCGCTGCAGCATGCCGCTGCATGCCGCTGTAGGGTGCCAGGGCGCAGCTGCAGGGTGCCCTACAGGGTGCTGCTTCAGAGTGCTGCTGTCCAAGCGGTGTGTGTGATTTGGGGGCATGCTGGTGCCGTGTGCGCTTTGGAGCTGGCGTGCTGGTGCCGCTGCAGGGTGCTGCTTCAGGGTGCTGCGGGCAGAGTGGCGCGCGCGCTTTGGGCATGGGTGCCGCCGCAGGGTGCCGTGCAGGGTGCTGCTTCAGGGTGCTGTTGTTAAAGTGGCTTCCTGGGGCTGCAGGGTGCCGTGCTGCTGTTAGAGTGGTGTGTGCGTTTTGCCACTGCAGGACGCTGCTGCAGGGTGCCGCTGCAGGGTGCTACTTGACGGTGCTGCTACTGCAGTGGTGTGCACGCTGTGGAGATGCATGCGGTGCTGCTGTTAGGGTGCGCTTTGGAGCCGGCTTTGTTGGCGCTATCAGAGTGCTGTGTGGGGTTTGGAGTTGGTGCAGGCTGCAGGGCTGTCAGAGTGTGGTGTGTGTTGTGGAGCTTGGGTGGTGGTGCCGTTCCAGGCTGGCGCCGCTGCAGGGTGTCGCTGCGAGATGTCTATGGCAGTGTGGGTGTTGGGGCCTGATGGAGATTACATTTACACCGTGTCAAAAAAGGAACGTGTTTGGCTGCTGCCCAAAAATATCTTTTGCTATCTGGGGTCTATGCCGGCGTAAATTTTTGAAGCATTTGCTCTGAAGCAAGGGGCCAGATGGCCCATGTATGCAAGAGGAGTTCTTGTATCCAATTTTTTGATTTTGTTGCACGTAGCCATCATCAAGTCCAGCCTTCATATTGCAGGACGCTGTACACACTACTCGATGCCGACAAGGATTGGTGTTGCCGCAAAGCCCCTTCCATGTTATGTGCATATGATGCCTCTGTGCGCCACGAAACCTTGGCATCGAGAGCATGTATGGTGACCAAGAGGGTGTTGGTTTTGGGAATTAACAAATTGAATCCCATAGGCCAAATAAATCTTCAACCGAGTGTGGCCTGCCATGGGCTCTGATGTGAGCGAAATCATGCGTCATGTTATGATTGCCTGACCTGTTGGAGGTCATGTGACAAGGTAGGTGCTTGTTGTGAAATTTCCGCCAGCCACAACCATGCAAACGCGGGCGGTGCAGGATGGCTTGATTGACCTCGACGAATTTGTTTCTGGGTGTATGCAACTCCATGGACCGGCAAAAAGCCTGCAATTGGCAAAGATGAGCTTTGAGAACAAGCGCCTCACCGAACACATGAGAAATTTAGTCAGCTCACAGGGGTCGCTCTTGCTTTGAAATGTTAGGACCGGAGAACCAACATGTCAGCTTCTTTCAATAAGCACAAAGCAGGTGTAAAAATGGGGTGGGAAAAGGAGGAAAGATAAAGGAGATGGTTGAAGACAGACTGTGTGAAAGAGTTTGTGTGAAAGAGTTGTTTGTGACAGAGACGCGCGCGTGCGACAAAGTTGCAAGTGACAGAGTTTTGCGTGAAAGAGTCGTGTGCCTGACAGAGTTGTGTGCCTGACAGAGTTGTGTGTGACAAAGTTGTGTTTGACAATGTTTGTGTGGGTGTGTGTGACAGAGTTGTGTGTGTGTGTGAAAGACTTGCGTGTGACAAAGTCGTGTGTGAAAAAGATGTGTGTGACAAAGCTTTGCGTGAAAGAGTTGTGTGGGTGTGTGTCAGAGTTGTGTGTGCAAGAGTTGTGTGTGAAAGAGTTGTGTGTGACAAAGCTCTGTGTGTGTGACAGAGTTCTGTGTGCAAGGGTGCCATGGACCCACTTGAGGGAACCCTTTTCAGGGTGAATGTTGACTGACCGGACGTTCGAATTGACAATTTTAATATGGGAATTCGTTTAAGTAAAGTGAAACAGTTGGCCTTGCCGTTCCTCGCCAATTTTGTGACATCTCGCCGCTCCTGCTGTCTTTGTGAACCCTGGGCAATTTCAATTCTGCTCAAGAGAGAGTGCTGGAACAGTCAAAAACTTTCTCTTCCCACCATGGCGACAGAACAACTGCAAGGATCCATGCAACGTGTCAGGTTCATGCCCTCAGGTGTGGTCTACTTTCTTTTGATAGTTCTCTGGTGAGGTTGAACACATTGTGCATCTAATTCGTTTGAATCTGAACAGCTGTTTACTGCCCATGTGGCTTGATCGACTATGGTCCTGTTTGAGGGAATAACGCACGAACTTGTGGGGTTGAACTGAATCCCATTTAATTTTTCCCCAACAGCGTAAGCTAATGGGGTCTTTAGCCCAGAATGCTCCGGTGTGCACTGGTGCAGACACCGGGGCAAGTTCAACAAGGTTCCGAAGAAGGTTCCGAAAGTTCCGGAGAAGGTCTAGGAGGCTTTGGTGCAGAGCCAGGTCAGGTTCAACAGAGTTCAGCCAGGTCAGGTTCAACAGGGTTCCGGAGAAGGTTCCGGACAAGGTTCCGGGAGGCTAGGTCAGGTTCAACAGGGTTCCGGAGAAGGTTCCGGAGAAAGTGTGGGAGACTTTGGTGCAGAGCCAGGTCAGGTTCAACAGGGTTCCGGAGAAGGTCTGAGAGGCTTTGGTGCAGAGCCAGGGTTCCGGAGAAGGTTCTGGAGAAGGTGTGGGAGGCTTTGGTGCAGAGCCAGGTTAGGTTCAACAGGGTTCCGGAGAAGGTTCCGGAGAAGGTTCCGGAGAAGGTTCCGGAGAAGGTTGGCTTTGGTGCAGAGCCAGGTCACGTTCAACAGGTTCCGGAGAAGGTTCCGGAGAAGGTCTGAGAGGCTTTGGTGCAGAGCCAGGTCAGGTTCAACAAGATTTGCGGCCATTTAACTCACGGAAACCTAGCTGAGTTGTTTCCAGCGCTTGGCTTCGCAGCACGCTTCAGAAAGATGTGTGAAAATAAAACGTTGCGGCTGTTGGGGATACCACCAAAGATTTTTTTTGTTGTTTCGCTTCTGTCTCCAACTAGTCCCCCATTCGGTCCCCTATTTCATGCGTTCTTCCCTCCCCAGGTAGGTTGGGTCCTGTGCAGGCGTAGGTCTCGGTAGGTTGGTTCAGGCGCTTCCGTCCTCCCCCCCTCCGCTGGTCTTTTTCCGTGTCCGTCGGCCTCCGCTTTTCTTTTCCCTTGCCCTTTCAGGGTTTGCCTGCTCCGGGCCATGTGTGTTGGTGTGCTCTCTCCCTCTTCTTTTGCGTTCCCCTGCTCATGTTCCGGGTAAGTAATCTTTCATGTCATTTTCACTTTCATCTCATCTTCGTTCCCCTTTTCATCCTCACCTCCACCTCGTTGCAAGCAAACAACCCTGCCTTTGGCAGGGTGTGTGTGTGTGTGCGTGTGAAAACGTCTGAATAGACGTAAAACTTCGCGACCGGCTCATCTATATCTATATCTATATCTATATATATATATATTTTACATTTTTACGACAGCAGGGGATCACCGGGGTCCCCGGGGGGTCGGTGATCAACGAAGACACCTCCCCGGGACCCGTGTAAACGTACCTGCGGGGCGGGGCTTTGGTTGTGCACCTGGGCGCATTTAAGTCGCAGCTGGTGGCCACCTTGGCCCATATATACATACATACATACATACGTACATACATACATACATACATACAAACAAACAAACAAACACACAGACAGACAGACAGACAGACAGACAGACAGACAGACAGACAGACAGACAGACAGACATACATACATACATACACATACATACATACACATACATACCTACATACATACATACATACAAACAAACATACATACATACATACATACATACTTACATACACACACACACATACATACATACATACATACATACATTTAATCTAATTGCGTGTGATGGGATTCAGTTCCCAACGGATCACTTCAATGATCCAGTTCTTATCTAGTGCGTGACAGAGTTGTGTGTGTGCGCCATCGGAAGAGATGTAAAACTTCTGATTACTGCAGGGGGCCACCGGCGTCCCAGGGGGCCAACGAAGACACCGCCTGGGTACCTGTGAAAACGTACCTAATATATATATATGAGTTTTCTCATGGAACATGATAAAGCTTTATTTGAAATGTTTGTTCGATGAGTGAATCTTAATGAACGTGCTGACCGCTGAAACCCATTTTCCTCCGTTCATTTTCAGCTTCAAGTGAAGCAACACAGAGCGAGTGCTCTGTTAGGTCACATGTTCATGCACATTCACGTACATACATGCAATGAACACGTGACGTACATGAACATTATTTACTTTGAAATTGTTAATATATAATATTATATATATGTGTGTGTATGTATGTATGTATATATGTATGTATGTATGTATGTATATATATATATAGTCCAGCCCCTTGGCGCATACAAGTCGCAGCGGGGGGGGGACATATATATATAAATATTATCGCTGTTGTTTTATATGGTCAACGTCTACTGTGATTATATGTATATTCATCATGTCATCTAATTGTTGGTGTTTTTGCACGCAAGATGCGCTCCACAACCGAATTCGCAACGACAGTTCTGAGCAAGTGTGTGACTCATGCTGGATTCGTCGCGGTGGCATGAACCCTTCGGGGAATACCTTTCTAGGTAGGAATTTTGATCCTTCGGCCTGATCTCTGAATTTACAATTTTCAACCTAGTAATTCGTTTAAGTAAAGTGAATCAGTTGGCAATTTTTCGATTTTCACCCTGTCGGTCGTTGTGTTGAAACAATTGGCCGCTGTGACTGGCCTCTCTATTTTTCCATGCCGGTTTCGTCAAGGTGGCAATTCGTTTAAGTAAAGTGAAACAGGTGGCCATTTTTCGTTTTTCACCCTGTCGGTCGTTGTGTTGAAACAACTGGCCGCTGTGCCTGGCTTCTCCATTTTTGCATGTCATGACGTGGTCAGGCAAAGGACATGCTTTACAGGTGTGGTCTCTTTCCTTTTTGTTGCTCTGGTACGGTACAGTTGTGCACCAAGTCGAGGGTTGAATGCTTGAGCAATCCATAGGGTTGACCTGACCACGGAGGGCTTGGAGCCTTATCACGATCTCGTGCATTTGTTTGCGGATGCATCATTTCCATTAACTAGTCCTCCATTGGTCCCCTATCTCATGTGTGCTCCCGTGCTAGGTCAGGTTGGGGTCCTTCGCGTGCCGAGGTAGGTTTGGCTCTTGCCTTGTAGGTTGCGTCATGCGCTTCCGTCCGCCCCCCCTCCTCTGGTCGGTTTTTGGCCCGCCCTGCGTCCGCTTTTTCTTTTCCCTTGCCCTTCCAGGGTTCGCCCGTTTTGGGCAAGGTGTGTGGTGTTGGTGTTTTCTTTTGCGTTCCCCGTCTCGTGTCCCGGTTCGGTAAGGTGTCATCTCATGTTCACGGTCATTTCATCTTCATGTCCATTTCACCCACCCTGCTGCGGCAGGGCGTGTGTGTGTGTGTGTAACATCTGAATAGATGTAAAACTTCTTATTACTGCAGGGGGCCACCGGGGCCCCAGGGGGTCAGTGGCCAACGAAGACACCACCTGGGTACCTGTGAAAACGTACCTGCTTTATATATATATATATATAGTCTTGCCCCTGGGCGCATATAAGTCGCAGCTGGGGGGACATGTATGTTTCATCGCTGTTGTTGATATGGTCAACGTGATTATATGTATATTCATCCTGTCATCTAATTGTTGGTGTTTTTGCACGTAAGATGCCCTCCACAACCGAATTCGCAACGACAGTTCTGAACAAGTGTGTGTTGACAAAACTGTGTGTGTGTGTGACAGAGTTGTGTGTGTGTGTGCAAAAGTTGTGTGTGCAAGAGTTGTGTGTGTTCGTGTGAGACATAGCTGTGTGTGTGACAGAGTTGGGTGTGCAAGAGCTGTGTGTAGAAGAATTGTGTGTGAAAGAATTGTGTGTGACAAAGTTGTGTGTGTGACAGAGTCGTGTGTGTGTGTGTGTCAGAGTTGTGTGTGCAAGCGTTGTGTGTGACAAAATTGTGTGTGTGTGACAGAGTTGTGTGAAAGAATTGTGCAAAATATCAACAACCCTCTCAACTTCCAAATGTTGAACCCGGTGTCATGAAAATCGACCTGTAGAAAAAAATCGAACATGTGATGACGTGATGCTTTGAAATTTGACACAGCACACGCGCTGACCCAGGCTAAAGATTACAACTCGTACACCAATCGCCTACTTTTTGTGCCAAAAACATTGGAAAGGGAAGTGAAATCTCAATGTGGTGGACTTGCACGTGTTGAAACGCGTTCCCAAAATTTTCAAGCCGCCGGATTGTTTCTGGACAGTTTTGAAACAAAATGCAAGGGAAAATGCCGTGCCAGAACTTGTTTTTTTTGAAAATAAGGTGGTGTTTGAAAACATGGAAAACATGTAATCAAAAAAACAACAGAAAAAACAACGCAAATAAATTATGAACCCATTTGGGAAGTTGGTTTTTAAAACCATTTGTGAACATTACATTGTCCGATCACCAGTATTTGCTGCCAAAGACGTGAGGCGCTGCCCTGGAAACATTTGAAATTTGAAACGTAAAAACAACATTTTGAGGAAACGCAATGGATGAAAACGTGAAACCATAGTTAAAACAAAAAGGTTACCACCAACCAGTTTCCAGATTGCAAGTCTTGAGCAGCATCAACGGTTTCATTGCGCAGGCTGTGAAATTGTGAAATTGGCAGTTTTACAATGTTTTACAACCAAAATAAATGAAACAAATTATATAAACAAATTCAACAAATTAAACAAACACACTTCACAATTTTCACAATTTTCATTTTCACAGTTGACCTTTTTTCCATGGGTGCTTTCTCGATTTTTTGTCAGGTTGGCGCGGGATGACCTCAAAACCTTGACCAAGGTGGGCAGCGGTAGTATTCTTAGTTTACTTGTTTGTTGCAATTTGTTGCAATTTGTTGCAATTTGTTTGTTTGTTTGTTTGTTTATTTTTTCAAAAGACAAATGCAAACAATGCTGTAACAACTGTAACAACATGTTTTCTTGTGAGTGCAAAAATCATTCGATCACTACACAATTTGTGTTTGCGCAACAATTTGATTGCCTATATTTTCACCACTTGCACTGACTCAGGACTTTGCAGACTTCAAGAGTTTGCTGCAAGTCAAGCAGATGGTCCGATCGCAAAACCAGAAGGAAATGAAAGAATCTTTTTGACGAAGTGTCACAGGTGAAACAACACACAATTGTTTCATGTGTATATCGTACACGCGGATAATGTCTTCCTGAAACTTCCAGAAGGAAGTCATTCAGGCGTCTCACTTAGATTCGCAGATTTAGGGTCAACATTTAGCGTGGTGGCCACGTTTCGAACCCATAGCCAAAGCTGCGTGGACACAATACAATTTGGACAAGAAGGGCACTTGAACGGTGGAGGGAAAGTAGGAGTAAATGAAGTAGAATTGTGTCCAAGGGAAAGACATAATTTTCACATGAAAGACCAGTGTTGCTTTAAGGTATGAAGTTGGATCATTTACTGAGGCAACAGAGGCGGAATAAGATAGAGTACAGGGTTTAGACTTTAGATCCTTTGATGCCAGCGACCTCTCGGGAAGAAACATATGTGACTTTTCCAGTCCATGAGCATGTGAGTAATTAGGAAATTATTAGGAATGGATGTGCTTGCACAGCAAACCTTCAGAAGAAAGACAGGCCCCAAGGTGGCACACTTACTTCAATGGGTGTATCCAAAAGCTGGGGACTCAAACTCATGAAACGTATATATTTTTGGGCTGAGAGAAACAATTGTGTCCCCGATTTTTGGACACACCCAATGGTCCTTGCAGGTATCGCTAGCCACCTCAAAGTACCCAGTGCTTTCTGCCTCAAATTGCATTCCAAGGATGGTGTTTTTGTAGACAACGAATGCAAATCTCGCAAACATTGTTGAAGTGAATAGTTGAATAGTATTCAAAACTTAGGCAGACAACAGGAAATGAACATGTTTGATCTTGGACGTTGGCCAGTCGTTAGGTTCGCTGGCAGACCCGGTCACAGTGCATTGTTTAACATTTCAATTAGCAAGACTCTGTTGTGCTGATAAAGAGTCAACCTGTCTTGCAATGCAAGGGCCTTAGCTTTGTTGACACAGACAGAGGCTAGATCTTGATCGATTATTGCCTGATTTTTTTGAGCCACCACTATTGGTGATTGATGTGCGCTACTTCTCACACTGCTTGCAAAGCATCTCTGAACAAGGTGGCGAAGCGTGGTACGCCGTGGAGAGCGCGATGTGCTGTAAGACTGCCTGGTATTGACTCAACATGAGCACCGAAGTAGGTTATTTGCCGTTGGTATCTAGAAGTCTTTTGGAAACAGCTAGGCCCCAGTGTATGAGGCTTACAGGAATGCAGAGGTTCATATGGAATTCCAAGCAGATCAGGACATGTTTGGTGCCAAGGCACGGTAGCTTCGGCGGTATTTTCCACTCTGAGGCCGGCCAGGGTGAAAGCCGACAAGCCTTCGAGCATTTGGAAGAGACATTGACGCGCTGTTGAACACAATTTAACTTAAACACTTAAAGACTTAAAGACAAGAACACCCATATATTTGATGCCAATCAAGTTGTCAATAACGACTGGGCATATACAGCATATACATACCACATTCTCAAGAACTCTCACGACCTTGAGTATGCCAATCACTGTAAACACCACAGATATTTGTGGTTTCGCAATGTTAAGGGTGTAATATGTTTGGAAATATGGAATTGTAAACAAGACGTATTTTTTGCGTGAACACACCAAATGACGAATACGAGTGTATGCAAACTGCCGTAATCAAGCAGGAGTAAAGAGCACCTAGAAAAGTCGAACAATAGACTTTACATTTTTTTCTATAGGTAGTAAGAGAAGATGCTTAAAACTTCGGAGATCGATGATCGATGAATTTAATGAGGAAATGTACAGATTAGGTCTTGACGGTTTGACTTCTGCAAAGGTTGGTGCCGTTGCCGGCTCTGGAAGTGATAGTGAGGATGAAGACAGGGAAGGAAAAAACATGAAAAAGCATGAAGAGAGAAGGGAATTCGTCAAGAAACCATCCTCTGCCTTCACCAGATTATGAAGAGGTTGATGACTTTGACATAAAATACTTAACAGGATGAAGAAACAGTGGGGGTATACAGTATGATAATCTTGTTTTTTTTGTTAGGTTTGACATTATGAAAAAGATTCATGAACACCTCACAGATAAAAAGGTCATCATTGACTGCGGTGAGGAAATTAAACGCTATGGCTATGAGTCTAAACCTTCTCCTTTTATCATTAGTAATGGATGAACTATGATGAACTAATTTTGAAGTTATACAAACAAACCTTGCATATCGCAGATGCGAATAATTGAACACTGATTGGATGGAATCGGCCTCACATGAAAGCACACCAGCAACAACAGTTTTTTCCCCTATATAATCCAATCCAAACATCAAGAGTGAAAATTAGGGGCAAATATGTCCCACAATACCCACAGGAGAAAGCAAAAAAACTTCAACGGCAAGGAAGAAACATTGGACATCAACATAAAGCCACCACAGGGTACACACAAACATAACCTGTCCCAGCATCCCTGTTTCACCATTTTCTTGGGGCTATGACACAGGCCTTGCCAGGAGCCTTACCGCGGAGGCAGGATGTGGCAGTCTAGTTTGCCTGTTTGGGCGTAAGGTCAAACTGACACATTCTGACATTCTGGCAACTGTTCGTGACCTGGAAATTACGCTTGCCGAAAGCAGTCGTCATTGTTGAACAATCTTGATTCATTCTTTGGATCAATTTGAGAAACACAGAATATGTGCCATTTGTCTTGAAAATGCCAGGCAGAACTCGCCACAACACCCTCCTTACGGTCGGAAACATGGTATGGCTCAAATCTATCTGGTTGCTTCTTGGGGTTCAAGAAAGTCAAGTTGGCCTCAAATCATTTTTCCTCTATTCTTTGTACATCTTTGTACTCTGCAGGTCTTTATCCAGAGCTCATCTCCGGCTCAGCCTTCACAGTCCAGCACCAAGAAATCGTTGCTGTTCAGGTCAACCTGTTGGGAGGCTGCAGTGTATCCCCTGGTGATAGGCTGTGCTGCTACACTATATCGACTTTGTCTATGTATTGTTCGAAGTAAGTTGTGTTGATGTGGTGTGTGTGTGTGAACCGTCTGAAGAGATGTAAAACTTCTAACCTGTTGGAATTCTGGTATTCTGCTCCTGTTTTAGCTTTTGATCTCATTTTATTGCATTTCAGATTTGCAGGGGGTGCCGGAGGCACTGATGAGACCGGCACTAACAAAGACACTCATCAGTTGCCTGTGATATCGATGGGGGCGCTCATTGACGTACCTGCACGTTTTGTCAATTTCGTGATGGGCAGTGGCTAACCCAAGAACAACCTTGTCGCTTTTAGTTGTCATGCACGCCTGCCGCAATCTGGGATTTATTTCAACAATCTTTTCAAAACAATTTGACCTCAACTGCGCTGGCTATGGCGACGGTAGCTTCTTGATACATTTTCGGGCCCCTTCACTGACCCATTCCTGTCAGGTGGAATGGACGCACGTAAGATGCACTCCAAAACAAAATTCGCAATGACAGTTCTGAGCAAGTGTGTGTCTCCTTCCCCCTCTCCCTCTCCCTCTCCCTCTCGCTCGGCTCGCACGCTCGCTCCTTCACTCACTCACTCTCGCACGCACCCAGGCACGCGCACGCAGGCACGCAGGCACGCAGGCACGCAGGCACGCAGGCACGCACGCCGGCACGCAGGCACGCGCAGGCACAAGCAGGCACGCAGGCAAGCAGCATGCGGGCACGCAGGCATGGCGGGCCGCAGGCACGCAGGCACAGGCACGCAGGCACGCAGGCACGCAGGCTCGCAGGCACGCGGGAGGGAGGGAGGGAGGGAGGGAGTGAGGGAGGGAGTGAGGTAGGGAGGGAGTGAGTGAGTGAGGGAGTGAGTGAGCGAGTGAGTGAGTGAGCGAGTGACTGAGTGACTGAGTGACTGCGTGCCTGCGTGCCTGCGTGCCTGCGTGCCTGCGTGCGTGCGTGCTTGCGTCACTGACTCACTCCACTCCACTCCACTCCACTCCGCTCCACTCCACGCACTCCACGCACTCCACGCACTCCACGCACTCCACGCACTCCACGCACTCCACGCACTCCACGCACTCCACGCACTCCACGCACTCCACGCACTCCACGCACTCCACGCACTCCACGCACTCCACGCACTCCACGCACTCCACGCACTCCACTCCTTCACTCCATTCACTCCACTCAGTCCACTCACTCCACTCACTCCACTCACTCCACTCACTCCACTCACTCCACTCACTCCACTCACTCCACTCACTCCACTCACTCCACTCACTCCACTCACTCCATCACTCCACTCACTCCACTCACTCCACTCACTCCACTCACTCCACTCACTCCACTCACTCCACTCACTCCACTCACTCCACTCACTCCACTCACTCCACGCACTCCACGCACTCCACGCACTCCACGCACTCCACGCACTCCACGCACTCCACGCACTCCACGCACTCCACGCACTCCACGCACTCCACGCACTCCACGCACTCCACGCACTCCACGCACTCCACGCACTCCACGCACTCCACTCACTCCACTCACTCCACGCACTCCACTCACTCCACTCACTCCACTCACTCCACTCACTCCACTCACTCCACTCACTCCACTCACTCCACTCACTCCACTCACTCCACTCACTCACTCACTCACTCACTCACTCCACTCACTCAACTCACTCACTCACCTCAACTCACCTCACCTCACTCAACTCACCTCACCTCACTCACCTCACCTCACTCACCTCACCTCACTCACCTCACCTCACTCACCTCACCTCACTCACCTCACCTCACTCACCTCACCTCACTCACTCACTCACTCAACTCACTCACTCAACTCACTCACTCAACTCACTCACTCAACTCACTCACTCAACTCACTCACTCACTTCACTCACTCACTCACTTCACTCACTCACTCACTTCACTCACTCACTCACTTCACTCACTCACTCACTTCACTCACCGCAAGCAAGCACAATCACGCACGCAGGTCAGGAGTCACTCACGTCCTCACTCACTCATCAACACAGCGACTCAAATCAATCACAATCACTCCAATCACTCACAATCAACTCACACTCACTAACACATCACTCACACTCATCACAACTCTCCCTCACAGCGCACTCACACCTCACTCAAATCACGTCAACAATCCACTCACAATCACTCCCATCCTCCACAATCACTCCAATCACTCACATCACTCACACTCCTCACATCCAGCACAATCAATCACAGCACTCCAAATCACGCCAAGCACGCACGCACTCACGCACTCACTTCACATCTCTCTCACTCCCCTCACTCACTCCTTCAACTCCCTCACCTCACTCACTCTCAACTCACTCTCACTCACTCACTAGCACGCACTCAACCATCACTCACGTCACTCACTCACTCACTCACCCACTCACTCACTCACTCACTCTCACTCACTCACCCACTCTCACTCACTCACCCACTCTCACTCACTCACACACTCTCACTCACTCACGCACTCACACTCACTCACGCACTCACACTCACTCACGCACTCACACTCACTCACGCACTCACTCACTCACGCACTCACTCACTCACGCACTCACTCACTCACACACACACACACTCACTCACTCACTCACTCACTCACTCACTCACTCACTCACTCACTCACTCACTCACTCACTCACTCACTCACTCACTCACTCACTCACATACATACACCTGGACATCGACAATTGCAGTCTAGGTTCCTGATTTTGGTGCGGACCATGTTCATATACAGATGTACATACATGCATATTTGAAACCTGCCCGTGAATGGAAACCGCGCACGAATCGACACATGCATGAATCAAAAGATGAGCACCTGAATGTATGCATACATGAAAGAAGACATATATAACATTACATTTCATAACGTAACATTACATAACATTGCATAACATTACATAACATTACATAACATTACAAAACATTACATAACATTACATAACATTACATAACATTAGCCACATTGCATGATATAGACTCATACATAGATATCTTTGTAGGTGGAGAAAGACACACGCACACACACCCACATGTAGTACTGTAGGGTACCTTGCGGAAGGGTGTTGTCTCCCCCAGGTGCCTCGGGCGAAAAATCGCTACACCTGGGCCTACAGGATTCGACCTTCTGTCCCTCGGTTGAAACTGAAAATGGACACCTGAGACATTCTGAGACCACAATGGCTTGAATGGCTTGAGTGAGGCTTGAGTGAGGCTTGAGTGAGGCTTGAATGCCTTGCTGATTCCACCCTTCTGGTTGCGTTGTCTTGTGCTGTAAGGTGGCTTGAATCTAGATAAAATCTGCACAGGACTTGCAACAGGTATGCTTTGACGTCAGATTTAAGTGACACACGTGCTTGCCCTGTGCTAATAATACGTTTTAAATCCTGAGGTTGGCTGACTGTTTATGTCATTCATTGTTGGCATTAAATCTGGATGTGAGCTCCTTCATGCTTGTTATTTGATGGCTTGCATTCAGATTCAGGTTTTTTTGGAGGATTCAACTATATAAATCTAAGATCACCGTATGCATTCCTTGTCGGGGCTCGCAGTGTTTTTCTTCCCCTTATTGCCGGCTGCTGACTTCCTGGTGTGTCCAGATCGAAGAGATATTGCACTGGCGGGGTGGGACAATACCAATATATAGCTTGAATTTGCACACACAACTTCGTGCTACGCTGCAATTGCAGCCACTGGAACTTGCGCGCGTAACTTGATGCTGGACACGGAAATTATAGGTCAGAACCGTCGGCTGTGCATATCGACTTGGTCACCTTGATGTGCCAGGTTCAGCACTCACCTTATGCTGGCTCTGGATACGAACCATGGGCCTGCACCCCAGTGAAGTGAGTCAAGACCTGATCAAAATCTTAACTAAGGCTTGCAACTTGACAAGTTCTCGAAGTCTCGCAACAAACAAGTCTGGAAACTGGATCCCCCACGGTCAAATTCAGTTGCAAGAGGGAGCGGTGTGGAAAAGTCATTGTAACTTCCAGCAGCTGTACAGACCAGATCGGTGCCCAGCAGGCCCATAGCACATGGCTGAGCCCCCCATTTCAGCATCCATGCCCGCCTGTCCTTTGCCTCAAAGGGTTGGGTCGCCAGGGGCAAGCAAGGTGCCAAAGTCAGGTCATTCTCGGGGCTGTGTCAAAGGAAAGGCAAGACCCCGAAACTCCTTCAAGTTAGGAAGAAACCGTGGTTCTTGGAACCAGCCTCCCTCCTCTTTGGACCCCAGAAGTAATTTTTTCCCCTCACTGGATGACTCGGGGGCTTGATAGGAGATGCACAAAATGCCCACTGGCAGAGGTGCAGCTTCGATTCCGGCCCTCGCCAGTGCCTTCACAAGGCCAGACACTCAGGAAATGTAATGGTTCCACTAAAACGTCAAACAGCGCCTGATTTTCGCGGTTGGACAGTGACTGTCAGTGCTCTAGGGCTCTTTTCTCTCTATGGGGATCATTGTTTCCGGCTGCGCTCAGGCACCGACTTTGTGGATGGTGCGGTTACGATTGCAGCCAACGGCTCTCCCGCAGCTCAGGTGGGTCTTGAATTCTGAAACCTGCGGGGTGTTGACTTGGCCTGGCAGGATGGTTGCAGTGCCAATACCTATGCAATGACCTCTTCCATGCCAGCTCCCTGGTGTTGCGTCCGCCTGATGCCAGCTTTGGCAACGATCCAACTGGCTGGGCCAAGGTCCAGCAAGCAGCGCTTCCTGCGAGTGGCTGATGGCGATATCTTGATTTTGCCGCAGGATGCTGATGGTTTGTCAAGCAGTTGGTTCATTTCAACTTAAGTGAGCGTCTTTCCTCGGAAAGTCTTCGTGAATTCCTGCCAGATCAAGAGCACCATTCTGAATCCATCCGAAATCAACATGAAAAACCCAATGGCATAGCGTGACGTCCGTGGTGGCAGGACGGCAGCCTGCAAGTACGTACTGAATTTGGGGAGTTGCAGGCGCAGCTTATCCATCAGTTGCTGGGACAGTTGGTGGAAACGAATAGCCCAGTGTGCCAGGTGGACCCATGGGAGCTGATTGTGGCCACGAGCTTACAGCCCGCACTGCGAAGTGGGCATCTTTAGTGGCACAGCATATGACATGGCGACAGAAGCAGATGGAGTCACCCTTTCTTGACACTTGCAAGGTCGGTACTTTTCTGTTTGACACTTTTCCATGTCTCAGAGACAGCTTGGGTCGTTGCTGCTAATATTGACCCCCCGAAATTGATGACGGAATGCCAGCATCAAAGTGTATAGAGACATTGCATGCAAGCGCATCACCCCGTCTTGGCGTGGGTGTGCTGGTCGGCTTGGTGTGTTGCGTTGCGCAGTATCCCCTGCCATGCATTTTACACTACATTGTTTCCGCGTGCATACGAATATCTTGCATCCATCAGACATGTTGTGCGTGTCTCATTAATTATTTGTATCTACCACGTCTACCACGTGTAAGCTTTTGTGTATACACCTGCAAGGAGATTGGTATTGTGCCATTGAAGGCTGATGCAGAGCAAGCACCCCTACTGTTTGGGCGACTAAGGTGCCACGTGGAGTCACATTTCAGGTGAATCTTGCAGAGGGCAGTAAAATGGCCAGAGGGTGACCCCGCCATTTGACCTTGGTCACTCCAAACTGCTGGATGCTGGACTTGAGGTCTCCCGCAGATCCGATCCAGCCAGGTACTTTCTGGAGAACTTTGGCGATCACTTTGTCATACCAGAGCTTGGACCGTTCGGGCGCCAAATTGGTAAATTTGTTACTCGTGGGACATATAGCCTGCCATGTATATAATTTTGTGCCGTGCCTTTGGACCCATTTCACATTGTACCAATGCCTTTGGTGTTTTGTTAGGAAATTTGGCAGTAGAACCAGCAGGAATCCACACCAGTGAAAATCAGACCTCAGACGGATGTTCCTGACGCATCCGCTGTGGTTGCATGCACTCCTACCATTCCCTTGAAGGCTTCCCCAATCCGGCGGCCCAGGATTGGTATCTCAGGGGGTTTGGCCCATCCTCGACACTTCCTGGCGCCACAGGCTGGGGTTTGGCAAAGCTTCGCTGCCTGTTTGGAATAGAAAAGCCATGAACGTTGCAGGCTTCCTATGAGGAGGTGGATGGAGATTTTGTCCCTTGGCTAGCACAACCAATCTTTAAATACTGCTAGATTCCTTTTAAAAATCATTCTCTCTAAGTCCAAGTCGACCTTCACCTTTTCCGTTTGGCGGACTGCACCTCCTCGGTTAGGAATTGGTCTCAAAGTTCATGGGCACCTTGTTCCGTTCCAAGATCAGGCCGCCCGGCTTCATGCTCTGTAGTTGCCAAGCTGTTCCTATTGCTATATATCTATATTAGCTTCGAAGTCCAATTTCTTCTAAGAAGATTTACGGAATAATCTACCCATATATACAATATATTATAAGTTATAGCTTTGAAGTCCTAATCATCAGAGCTGGCAAGGAATAGTCTTGCCTTGGGTTCTGATTCTACCCCCAGGCACTCGCCGTTGGATGTGGTGGCCTGGTATGGCAGCCATGTGCCATGCAACTTTGAACCAATGCTTGTGACGAGACATTTTTCAACTGGCATGAGAATTCAACTGAAATCATATCACTTCAGACTTCGCATTCCCTCTGACCTTTTTCCTCATTGAACACGTGTGCTTGCAAAGACAGGTTTCAAAGAGCACCTGTCTCGGAGCCCACGTCCCAATCGCTGTTTGGCTCCGCAGAGCCAAGGCAAGTACGACATGAGGCTCTTCATGGCCATAAACACAGCGTGGGCTCCTGGAAATTCAAGTGGACGCACTGATGCGGCAACGGAGACAGAAAGACAACCCGGAGGAACCAAGAACAAGTTGATCTGATGCGCTTGCGGTGGAAATATGATTAAAAATGCTATATTGAAGATTATTGAAGATATTGGAGCAAATGAAGACAACTCAAGATGCGATGAGCCTCCTAAGCGCATCGTTTTCGCTGTCATATTATATATTCGATATATTGGTTGCAAAGCCAAAGCGGTGTGGTCTAGATTGACACCCTTTGCCAGGGATGTGTACAAAGCTTCCAAGCTTCCAAGCTCACAATGACATTGCATTACCAAGCAACAGCTGCTGGTTTCAGCATAGAGTCGAATGCGATGCTCATTGACGATCCAGGTAAAGAGTCCGCTTTGTGACGTTGTGCCACCATCACACTAAATTGTGCAGCTATCCTGCTTCAAAACACTTAGATGTTTTCATGTTCTTACACTTCACAACGTTCTGCCGTTTTGATAGATGCAGTATCACGCAGCATCATGCAGCTGTGACCAGAGCCGGTCCCTGTGGTACTCTGATTTGCAGTGTCCTTTCTCACAGCTTCCTGTTTCAAGGTCACCTATGATCATCCAGATCCTTCGATTGGAGCAGTGCGACCTTGAGAATGGTGTGCCAACGGAATGGTTCTACAAGACCTGGGACAGCGATCTGCCCTTGAGATAGAGAGATAGAGAGAAGAGAACATAACAGAACGGTTTGGAAGTTTGGAACTCTCAGTTTTGTTGCCAAGGTGATGTCATCGTACACCTCTACTCCGGGCCTTGCAAATGTGCCTTGATTTCAACCATTTGGAACAATGGGCTAGTACCTCTGCAATGGGTTCAAAGCACTGAGAAGGCTACAGCTACTGGTAGGAGAATTCTGCTGCTTCGTGCAAGCGGGCTTGGAATCCAGCTCTGACTTCTTGAGAACATCTATGAGTCTATGAGTGTTGAATGATGCAATATCTGCTGAAAACCCCGCATGTCTTCGGGAATATACTCCCTCTCGGTCTTCGTATGGATTGGCTGAATGAAATCTGGTGGTCCGACGCGCGCCTGCGAAAAGGTGGACTTTGTGATCTTTCCACCAAGATGGCTCCCAGCGGAGGGCACCTTTCGTCCACCTTGGCAGGGAGCCACTGTTGCCGAGAGGAAAACGTCTACAGTTGGACAAGACACGGCTTGATCTTTTTTTGGTTGCAATAGTTATCAATCATTACCTGGTTTCTGAAGGATTTCCCGCTATGCTGGGGGGTGAAGGCAGCGAAGGGCAGTTGAGAAAATCGTCAGGTAAGAGTTGTGAAGGCTTCAACACATTCCCGGATTCGTGCCTCCGAGGTTTCATCGAAACTGCATGAGCGAGTTCATGGGACTTCTCACAGGTGAGCAGTGGCCAGTTGAGGCTGTTGACGAGAAGGGCTTCCATCACTTTGTAATGTAATGGGAGAGTCAAATCATTTGTGAAATCTGTATCAACCAACCAGTGGAACCACACCCAATAGGTCTTACGAAACTGCATCGTCATTTAACCATACAATGCACCCATTGGAAACGGTAGAGTTTCCGCAGACTGCAGGAACCTATGACGCAAAGCCTGCACAAGTCTCAGCGTAGTCTTGTGTTTGTGTGAATAAAAGTAGCCCGAAATCCATTGATTTATCATCGTTTTCCCTGTTCAGATGGTCATTTTGGGAGTATACCGTGCAGCATACCCTTTTTTCAGACACCCAGTTGTTGGTAGAGAACTTTGTCGGGTTTGGTATGATGTATTTTTGGAACCAGTCCCCATCGTGGACTTCGTGTCGTATGATCCAGCCCAGGACAGCTTTGTTCCAGGTGCAAGTTCTATTCACAACAGGCCCTCCTGTCTCACAGCTTCTCCAAGAACTGTGCACGCTTTTCCTGGTGATTGTTTCACGACCTCAAGAAGAATTAATTATAAGGCAATTGACGATCAAGTGGTAAATTTGCGCATGAAGCTACCAAGATGGACGAGGTAACAGGCAAGCAGGCAGACACACAGATTGATCGATTGATAGACAGGTAGGCAAATAGACAGGTAGGCAGATAGATGGATCGATGGACAGATCTATGAATGGATGGGTGGATGGAAGGAAGGACGGATGTGCATGGATGGGCGAATAGATAGATTATATAGGTATGATATAATCTCTAATTAGATTAGACTAGACTAGATTAGAATAGATTAGATTAGGCTAGAGCAGATTAGATTAGCTTAGATTGGATAAGATGAGATTAGATGGATGGGATAGGATAGGATAGGATAGGATAGCATAAGATACGATACGATAAGATGAAACTATATATATATGTGTATATAGATGACAGAAGATGAGATAGATAGATAGATGGATGGATGGATGGACGGACGGACGGACGGACGGATGGATGGATGGATGGATGGATAGATAGATAGGATGAGATAGATAGGATGATATGAGCTCATAGGACAAGATGAGATAGATAGGACAAGAAAGAGGTAAGAAAAGACAGAAAGAAAGAAAAACAATAGAGACATACATAAATAAAGAAAGAAACAAAGAAGGAAGAAATAATGAACGACAGAACGACAAGCAGACAGAAAGAAAGAAATATAGATGGAGAGATGGAGAGATGGGACAGATTGAGTAGATGGGATAGAGTGGATAGAGTGTATAGATTGGATAGATTGTACAGGAGTCATCAAATAGATATATTTGATTATATACGTAGGTAGGTAGGTAGGAAGGTTGGTTGGTTGGCTGGTGGGTAGGTGGGTGGGTGGGTCGGTGGGTGGATGGGTGGGTGGGTTGGTTGATTAGACAGAATGATCTTTGATCCATTGTACAATATATGTATATATATATACACATATCAGATAAGATAAGATGAGATCAGATTAGACAAGATGAGAGATTAGATGAAGTTGGATTGGACAAGATTGGATATTTTCATGGACAGGTAGCTGCATGGACTGGATACGTCACCGATCTGGGGACCTTGTGCTGAAGCCAGGTATGTGCCCCACGGCCCTGATGCTGCGGCGGTGCAAAAAGGCACAGACTTGGATTCTTCGAAACCAGAACGGCGAGGACACCTGGCCTTTGGTCACAGATATTTTGTCATCAATATCCACCAACTTGGGTAAGCTGAGCTGCAAGGGGCCATGATATGATTAATTTAATTTGGGGGCAGAAGCTAACCATCAGCCGTCAACCAAGATGTCCTTGCACTCCCCCCCACCAGTGATGAAGCTTGCACAACTGGAGTGAAGCAAGGTACAGTGGCACCTTGGCCTTTATGTGGGAGACGCGGCTGGTGTGGTGCCGGCACAACTTGTCGGGCTGCGACAGTCATCTTGAGATAGTGACCACGCACAGCCCTGCCATGCCCTCTTGTTGCTTCACATCTCTCTTATCGGGTGGACCTTTGAAAGCATTCACTCAGCCGACAAAGTAAAGATTTGAGGCTCCCTGCTCTGCTGCTTCTGCATTGTGCATTTGTATGCTGAATATGGCATGACCGGACCCGTCCAGAACTGAAACCATGAATAAAAGAAGCGGCTTCTTTGATTTTGCCAGGTGGCATCCTTCAGAGTATGCCTTGGCCACGTTGAATGATGAGGGCTACCCCGCTGCATGGCCCCTGCCTCAAAACAAGGCAGCAGGGTTTGCATGCCACAGAAAGCAACGTCCAGATATAGATTCTTAAATCATTCGCAAAGTCTCAAAACATCCGGAAGCGGTTGAAATGACTCTCTTAAAGAAAAACTCAAGTGGTTTCATCATGCTTCGTCCGTCTCAGTTTTTCGAAGACCAGGAGGTTTTGATCCCATCCCTACCCAGGTCTGGCGTGCAAAAGCGCTTCGATGCTAGCAAGACTCCTCAGGATGAACCGCTGGGAGCTGAGACATTGGCAGATGGTGAAGGATTCATTATGTTGAGCCATGTGAAACCCCATACGCAAACCACAAGTTTGGAACCACGATATGATGTATGGCAATGTATGGTAAATGATAGATGATCTGTGATATATGATATGATATGACATAATATGATATGATATTCAAGGGCATTTCTTCGCGGCAACGGCAACCAAAGATGTGTTTGTGAGGTATGGGTTTCAGCCCACCAGATGACCGAGAACTTCTCGGCAAGAAACTCAGCAAAACACGGATGAATCAGCGTGAAGCTTACTGGGTGATCAACAAATTGGATGCATCATTTCGGTCGGAAAGACTTTTTCTAAGGTGGGTCAAATTCAAGTCCAATTGGCTTCCGGTTTTCCAAGGTAGAGGTAGAGAGCAGTGTCCAGGCATGAGTGCAACTGCCACGGCTGGATACTCCCTTAGGCTGCTTGGGCCATCCGAGCAAGTAATGCAACAAACATCTTGGAGTTCACTGCGAAAAATTTAACAAATGGATTTTGGTCAATCAATTTTTGAAGATGGAAAGGTGGAAGAACCCAAATGCTTGCTTTTTGAGAGGCCTGGCTTTTAGACTGTACAGATTCCTGAAAGGGTCTCCCCCTCAGGTTGCATGCGAGTGCAAGATCCGCCACCTTTGCAAGTTTCAGATGCCTTTTTAGGTAGATGAAGTGTGACATACCTTTGCGGTTGTACCATGTATATGGAAACATGCCAAGACAGAACCACATGTAGAATCACGCACACAGACATTCATATGCTGTATCTTCATATCTTGAAGTGTGTAATGTATGTGCATATGTGATGGAATGTGATCTAATGTGATGTATTTGTATATGTAATATGTACACTGCACACATGCATACGAACTTTCTTTTGCACCAGAGCAGGTGATGTCACAAACCAACAGCACCAATGTTTTGGGGTATTCCTTTTAGGACATCCCATGGCCAAAAAGTTGAGGATTTCTGCAAAAGGAGACCCTTTCATGCGGGCGATTGGCCCGTGAGCCAAATCGGGGGAGACGCCCTCGGATGAGATCGACTGATACCATGCACGCAATCCCACAAATCATTCAGGCATGGCACTATATTTTTACGTCTGTCAAGGTCTCAGGCATGTCAACACATTCCCCAAATGGTCAGCAAAAAATGGGTAAGCCACAATGTATCGCCAGTATTTCTGCATGACGGGACATGACCATGTACAACTTGAGCTTCCAAGCATGACCCCCTGGACACCATCACGATGGTCTTTGATGTTCTTGGTGGAAGCGGGTATGCCTTCCATGTTTTCTGGGGACGTTTCGCATAGCTCACACTGACACGTCGGAGAAACGATGTCAAAGTTCGAGACGGCAGACTGTTTGGCCATGTGGGCCAACCCTCAGAACCAAGAATTCAGCACAGCAAAAATTTACAAAAAGAGAGAGGTTCAGTTTTTTGGAAGTCATGTCAGGAAGGCAAATTTGGATTTTGAAGCGCCAGAAAAGTGCGATGCGGAGAAAAGGCAGAAGCGAAGAGAGAAACAACGCAGAAGATGCAATCGGAACCAACCCAGAGAGACCATTACTAAGATAGATTTCTCCGAGTTTGATTTCTAAGGCGGAAGAGGAGGAGGAGGAAGAGGAGGAGGAGGAGGAGGAGGCAGCAAACAGACAGCTAGGGAGCGCAATGAGAGAGCACCCTGACTAGTTACTCAACTTTTTGCAACGACTGGGAGCGGATGAGCAACCATTCCCCCAACACAACGGCAAAGGCAAGGGCCAGAAAGGCAAAGGCCAGAAAGGCAAAGGCCAGAAAGGCAAAGGCCAGAAAGGCAAAGGCAAGCCAACAACTGGGAATGCAGGCGACCAAAGCCTAAGCGATTTACAAAAACCCAAAGAACCTTGTTACAAGCACTACAGGAAACCCTGCGGAAAAACAAGAAAGGGAATCTGATCGCCAACACCACAAGAACAATTGCAGCTGATAAGATGGGCAAATTAAATGCCGGCAAGGATCAGGGAAACCACCAAACAATAGAAAAAACCAAGCACCCTTCAACGTAACAAACAAGCAGCCAAAGAATGTCAAAATAGCTGGGTTCAAGTGGCCAAGGGAAAAAAGAAAACGCAGCAAGCAACCCTGGAGACAACAGCATGGCCCCAAGGAGTAAATATCCATGATAATGAGCACCAACAGAGCCTTGAGGATGGCAAAGAACCTACTGCTCTGGTCTCTTGGGCTCGCGCTGTCAAATACGCTGAGCAATGTAGGAACCTGGCCTCGCTCCATGGCATTAGGGCCAAGTTCGCCTTCGTTACTACCCAGGAACACATGCCAAGCAACAACACTTTGGAATCACAACGGCGCCCCACGCACATCAGCTTAGGAAGCTCTTCGTCAAGCCAGTGACGTAAGAAGGACCAGTTTTTTTCCGGCGGATCCAACAGTGGACGGCACACACAAGCCAAGCCGACGGAGACGAAACCCATGGTCCTCAGAGTCAGCATGCCGCAAGCCTTTGTGATTAGAGAGAAGGAATGACAAGAAACCATCTTGGCCTGGGTAGCAAAAAGCAACTTCACGGCGCATGGTTGGCAAGCTTCAACGTAAGCAGCACGAGACAGCATCAGAAACATTGAGCTCCTTGACGGATACGTCTGTGTGACGGAGAGCGGAGCCAAAGAAATTGAGACCAACAATGGCAAAGGGGCAGTTATAATGGCCCAAAAGCAGCCCCACAACACTGAAGCACGACACTGAAGCACAATATTTTAAAATGTGGCATTCTCAACACAACCACTTGCTAACAAAACTGGCGAAGGAAGTTGCTTCAGTTTGAGGAGGATAGACAGCAGCAAACCACCCCCTACAGCCACGGTGCCTTACAGGAGCCCCAGGCTGGTATCGTGACCTTGATACCACGCAAGCTTGGAAGGAGCAGGTTGGACGGAATGCACAGCGCTTCAACCGCCCAAGAAGGTTGCAAACCGTGGCTTGTCAAAGCGAACCGGCAGATGACAAAATAGAGGATTCCTGGGATATCAATACTGGTGACCACACCTTGCTTCTCAGCAACGTCCCACCAAGATCGCCATACATCTTGGGGGTTCAAGCCCTTCGCACCACCACATGGAAGGTAAACAGCCCAAGCCACCGCAATGACAGCACAGAAGAAACTAAAGAGATAGCAGCCACCCAAATGGAGGTTGAGGATGACGACGCTTCACAACAAACTGAAGAACAAGCACAGCCAGCAAACAATATCACTTTCGGAAATGCCAGCGGTTGAAAAAAGGGACCAAGATCAAAGCCCCATAAGGAACCAGAGAAAAAGGTCAAGATAGACCCCTTACAAGCTTTCCGCACGTGAGAATGCGGCGGTCAAGGAGCTTGTGGCTACAACAGCGTCGCCGTTGCAATGCAGCTCTGCGGAAAACGCTCAGGCAGAAAACCCACCAGCATATCAGAACACCCCAAGCCGAAGCAGCTTGGATACAAAACCCTCCATGAAACCTAACCACGGAGGGAGGAACGGTTTCTACAATTTTTGCAGAACGGTTAACTCGTATATAGTAGCTGACAGAAGGGGAAACTCAGCGAAGAGGTGGCTCAGTGAAGAAGAAGCAGAAATAACTCACTCATCCATTCGTTCATTCATTTCTTCGCTCTTTCATTGATTCGGTCATTCACCCATCCGTACATTCATTCTTTCATTCGTTCATTCATTCGGTCCCCCCATTTCATTTGCATCTGAACAACCATTTGCCCATACGTTGATGCACCTCGTAGCCTCAGCATTTCAGTGCTTCAGATTCTTGTAGACAGTCCATTGATTTCCTACAGCCGTTGTTCCCCAGATAGCTAAGCTATTGGGGCTCTTACTTTGGAGCAGGCATGTTGGTGCCGTTGCAGGGTGCTGCTGTTGGAGTGTTGTGTTCCCTTTGGAGCTGGCCTGCTGGTGCCGCTGCAGGGTGCTGCTTCAGGGTGCTGTGAGAGTGGTGTGTGTGTGTAACATCTGAATAGATGTAAAACTTCTCTCTTTTTCTTTCTTCTGTCCTCTCCCTTTTTTAATAACGCAGGGGGCCACGGCTCCATTCATCAGTCCGTGGCCAACGAAGCTACTGATGTTTGGAGAGGATATGCAGTCTGATCAACTGCACGTACCTGCTTTTTTCTGACATAGCAAGGGGCCAAGCTCAGAACCCCAAACACAATGATTTTATCTGGTTTGGACTCCATTTGACAACATTGGATGCTCTACATCGTTTTCAAGAAGTACTACAAGGGGATCTACTTTAGATCTAATTGTCTAGGCTGGTTTGCATGTTACAGGACAGTTCGACAGTTCCTGACGGATCTTTTCAAAGATCCTTTCTTATCTAGTGTGATTCCTATGGTGCTATGGTGACTCCGACAAGGTGCCATAGGGCCAATTGAGGCAACCCTGTTTAGGGTGATTGTCGACTGACTTGACTTCCGAATTCACACATTTTAACTTAGTAATTCGTTTAAGTAAAGTGCAACAGTTGGCCTTACTGTTTTGCGCCTTTTGCGAAGTCCCGCGGATCCGGCTGTCCCTTGAAATCCTTTGGAAATGCTTCTCTACTGCGTGAAGCTGTGCTGAACATTCAGAAACTTCTTTTTTCGATTACTGCAGCTCCAGCTTGTGACATTCATGACAACAGGTAAGGCAGGTTCATGCTTGCAGGTTTGGTGACTCTTTCTTTTCTTGGTTGTCTGGTGAGGTCAAACATATTGTGCACCTAATTCGATGGAACTTGAACAGCCGTTATATGCCCTCTGGGCTGACCTGACTACCGTCCCGGCAAGGGAATAACGCACGACCTCTAGGTACCTAGGAACTGAGTTCTGTTTTTAAACTAATTGTTTTGGTTTCTCTTGTTTGCCATCAACTAGTTCCCCATTTGGTCCCTAATTCTCCCTTCGTGCCTCTCCGTAATGTGTCGTGGGGTTTAGGTGTGTGCTCTGTTTTGGTCAGGTCCGTTTCGCCGTGTAGGTTGGTTCCGGAGGTCCGTCTGTTCCCCTCCCCCCCGCGCTGTTTTGGTCGTTGGCCCGTCGTTTGTGTCCGCTTTTTTCTTCCTCTTGCCTTTCAGGGTTGACCCGGCTCCGGCTGGGTGTGTGTGTAACATCTGAATAGATGTAAAACTTCTCTCTTTTTCTTTCTTCTGTCCTCTCCCTTTTTTAATAACGCAGGGGGCCACGGCTCCATTCATCAGTCCGTGGCCAACGAAGCTACTGATGTTTGGAGAGGATATGCAGTCTGATCAACTGCACGTACCTGCTTTTTTCTGACATAGCAAGGGGCCAAGCTCAGAACCCCAAACACAATGATTTTATCTGGTTTGGACTCCATTTGACAACATTGGATGCTCTACATCGTTTTCAAGAAGTACTACAAGGGGATCTACTTTAGATCTAATTGTCTAGGCTGGTTTGCATGTTACAGGACAGTTCGACAGTTCCTGACGGATCTTTTCAAAGATCCTTTCTTATCTAGTGTGTGGGTGTGTGTGTGTGGATCATCTGAAAAGATGTAAAACTTCTAAGCGATGGTTTGGCTGTTTCGTTTCTACTGACTCGTTTTTTCAATCATGAACTGGATTTTCCAATTCAGCAGGGGGCCGCTGGGGAACATTGCAGTCAGCGGCCAACGAAGACGCTGCAATGTTCCTGTGAAAACGTACCTGCAATTTTCCAGTTTTTCGTCAATGGCAACCGGCTAAGCCAAGAACCGGCATGTCGTTTTTCCAACAGTTTTCAAACTACTGTACGGTTTTCGCAATCTGACTGAGCTGCATCAGAACAAGTAAATCCTTCGAGCAAGGACGTAGAAAGATTTCCTCGCACAGTTTCTCACTTCCAATCATCAAACCATTCCTGTCAGGTTTAACTGAAGTGTTTTTGCACGTGCGATGCATTCCACATCAGTAATTCGATAAGATGTTTCTGAGCAAGTGTGTCACTCATGCTGATATCCGTCAAGGTGGTATGAGCCCTTCGGGGAAAGCCTTTCTAGGCTAACAATTGACGGTAAAACGGTGTCTGAATTTACACTTTTGAATTAGTAATTCGTTTAAGTAAAGTGAACAGCCGGCCTTTTTTCCTTGTCTCACCCGTCGATGTCGTTGTGTTGAACCGCTGGCCGCTGTGCTTGGCCTCACCCTTTTCCTTTTCTCATTTGTCGATGTCGATGTGTTGAACAGCTGGCCGCTTTTCCTGGCCTCACCATTTTCATTGGACAGCCAATGCGTAGTCTTAAGCTGCGACAACAACCTTCCTGTTGTTTCAAGAGACAGCCACTCCGCAGCCATTTGCACATGATCAGGTAACGGGACATGCTTTCCAGGTGTGGTATCTTTCTTTTTTGGTTTCTCGGTGAGGTTGAAATTGTGCACCTAATTCAGGGGTTGAACACGTAAGCCGTCCAGAGGGTTGTGACTTGAATGCCGAGGGCCTTTGAGCCTTATCACGAATCTTGCATGCAATGTGGATGCATCTTTTCATTAACTAGTTCCCCATGGGTCCCTTATTTCATGTGTTCCTGCGTTCTCCTCTCTCCAGGTAGGTTGGGTTCTGCGCGTGCTGAGGTAGGTGTAGGTTCGCTGTGGTAGGTTGGTTCAGGCGCGTCCGTCCTTCCCCCCCCCTCCGCTGGTCTCTTTCCGTTTCCGTCTGCCTTCGCTTTTCTTTTTCCTTGCCTTTTCAGGGTTTGCCCGTGGTGGGCCAGGTTTCCTTGTGTTGGTGTTTTCTCTTTCCCTCTGCGTTGCGTTCCCCTCTTCGCGTCCTGGTTAAGTAACTTTCATCTCATTTTCATCTTCACCTCATCTTCATTTCCCTTCATTTTCATTTTCATTTCACTGTCCGGACCTTAATTTTTCACCCTCCTGCGGGAGGGTGTGTGTGTGTGTGGATCATCTGAAAAGATGTAAAACTTCTAAGCGATGGTTTGGCTGTTTCGTTTCTACTGACTCGTTTTTTCAATCATGAACTGGATTTTCCAATTCAGCAGGGGGCCGCTGGGGAACATTGCAGTCAGCGGCCAACGAAGACGCTGCAATGTTCCTGTGAAAACGTACCTGCAATTTTCCAGTTTTTCGTCAATGGCAACCGGCTAAGCCAAGAACCGGCATGTCGTTTTTCCAACAGTTTTCAAACTACTGTACGGTTTTCGCAATCTGACTGAGCTGCATCAGAACAAGTAAATCCTTCGAGCAAGGACGTAGAAAGATTTCCTCGCACAGTTTCTCACTTCCAATCATCAAACCATTCCTGTCAGGTTTAACTGAAGTGTTTTTGCACGTGCGATGCATTCCACATCAGTAATTCGATAAGATGTTTCTGAGCAAGTGTGTGTGTGTGTGTGCGCGCTTTGAGGCTGGCGCTGCTGCAGGAGCACTGCTGTTAGAGTGGTGCGTGCGCTTTGGAGGTGGCCTGGTGGTGCCGCTGCAGGGTGCTGCTTCAGGGTGCTGCTGTTACAGTGTGTGAGCGGTGTAAGGCGCAA